TTTCTATGGGATTAAGGTCTGGAGACTGGCTAGGCCACTCCAGGACCTTAATGTGCTTCTTCTTGAGCCACTGCTTTGTTGCCTTGGCCGTGTGTTTTGGGTCATTGTCATGCTGAAATACCCATCCACGACCCATTTTCAATGCCCTGGCTGAGAGAAGGAGGTTCTCACCCAAGATTTGACGGTACATGGCCCCGTCCATCGTCCCTTTGATGCGGTGACGTTGTACTGTCCCCTTAGCAGAAAAACACCCTCAAAGAATAATGTCTCCACCTCCATGATTGACGGTGGGGATGGTGTTCTTGGGGTCATAGGCAGCATTCCTCCTCCAAACACGGCGAGTTGAGTTGATGCCAAAGAGCTCCATTTTGGTCTCATCTGACCACAACACTTTCACCCAGTTTTCCTCTGAATCATTCAGATGTTCATTGGCAAACTTCAGGCGGGCATGTATATGTGCTTTCTTGAACAGGGGGACCTTGCGGGCGCTGCAGGATTTCAGTCCTTCACGGCATAGTGTGTTACCAATTGTTTTCTTGGTGACTATGGTCCCAGCTGCCTTGAGATAATTGACAAGATCCTCCCGTGTAGTTCTGGGCTGATTCCTCACCGTTCTCATGATCATTGCAACTCCACGAGGTGAGATCTTGCATGGAGCCCCAGGCCGAGGGAGATTGACAGTTCTTTTGTGTTTCTTCCATTTGCGAATAATCGCACCAACTGTTGTCACCTTCTCACCAAGCTGCTTGGCAATAGTCTTGTAGCCCATTCCAGCCTTGTGTAGGTCTACAATCTTGTCCCTGACATCCTTGGAGAGCTCTTTGGTCTTGGCCATGGTGAAGAGTTTGGAATCTGATTGATTGATTGCTTCTGTGGACAGGTGTCTTTTATACAGGTAACGAGCTGAGATTAGGAGCACACTCTTAAAGGGAGTGCTCCTAATCTCAGCTTGTTTACCTGTATAAAAGACACCTGGGAGCCAGAATCTATCTGATTGAGAGGGGGTCAAATACTTATTTCCCTCATTAAAATGCAAATCAATTTCTAACATTTTTGACATGCGTTTTTCTGGATTTTTTTTCTTGTTATTCTGTCTCTTACTGTTCAAATAAACCTTCCATTAAAATTATAGACTGATCATTTCTTTGTCAGTGGGCAAACGTACAAAATCAGCAGGGGATCAAATACTTTTTTCGCTCACTGTAGTTTCAAAGAAAATAACAAAAAAAACTACGACGTTTCGATCACAACACAAGCGATCGTCATCAGGAGAACCTATCTACGTGACTTTACCTAAAGACCCAAAGAATATGAATTCCTGCAGTCACGAAAGCTTTAAGCCAAGAGTTAACTAATTTATATATATTTTTTAATTCTAAGGCCACGCAGCCTTATTGGTATTTGTTATATTGTGACGCACGTGCCTGCCACGTGTCTCTCGATTTAAAGCAAAGTTGCCACTCGTGAGTTTCAGTTTATTTTCATGTGTTACACGGATGATGATGATGACGGTCCCGTTTCGCCAGTTACCCGGCTATTTGAGACGTCTGGTCCGTGGTACTGCGTGAGCAACAACAACAACAGCAGCTCAGCAACAACAAAATAAAAAAACACATCGACATTTCGTGCAGCAGCGTCCTTCAGGAATATTGCACAACTAACAAACGGGGTGTTTGGCGGTCGCAAAGAAAACACACGCGAATGAAAAGCAATATGAAATGAAACAAACTGCTTCAACTAAACACAACAATAATAATAATCATTCGCGTACCCGAGTGGAAGAGCGTAAATGTGATTGCATGTCACAGAGCCGTCCCTAGGGTAACACGGACAATTGGGTCGTCCGCCCCGGGCCCCGCGCTTTGGGGGGCTGGGTGGGGGGGGGGGGCAAACCGCTTCGACGTCACGGCGTCAGATGTAATACTTCTCTGGTTTAGTTTGAAGGCTCTTGGGAGACCCACAGTAGGCCGATTTGCCCCGGGGCCCCGCATTACCCCCATTTGGACGGCTCTGTCTCCACATAGCACTTCAAAGTTGTTGTTGTTCTTGTTGTTTTAATAATGTAATGGCAGTAGAGTCAACCTACGGTGCGAGTGGACTGGTGGCCACGGGAGGTAATGACAGGGGAGTCAGCCTGCAGTGCAAGTGGACCGGTAGCCACGGGAGGTAATGACAGGGGAGTCAGCCTGCAGTGCGAGTGGACTGGTGGCACGGGAGGTAATGACAGGGGAGTCAGCCTGCAGTGCGAGTGGACCGGTAGCCACGGGAGGTAATGACAGGGGAGTCAGCCTGCAGTGCGAGTGGACTAGTGGCCACGGGAGGTAATGACAGGGGAGTCAGCCTGCAGTGCGAGTGGACTGGTGGCTACGGGAATGATCGAGAATAGGAGCGTGGCCAGGTGATGTAAGAGGACGGTGGAGTCTGCCGGTAGAGCGGGCGGTCTAGAACCTGCGAGAAGGTTCGGGAATGGGGGCGTGGCCTCGGACCCTATATCAGGGAGATGCGCAGGAGACTCGGGGCTGTTGCAGTGGCGGGTCTCCGCCTGTCCGAGAGTGAGCACGCGGCTCCTTAAATAAAGAAAACCTTTCCAGGAAAAGTGCGTCGGAGTTGTCCTTACACAAATAACCCTTTGTACAGACGCAATCGCCATCAATGCTCATCATAATCGATCTCGCCTCGTGGTGGTGGTGGTGGTGTTGTGTGGCAGTTTGGTCTCCACATATAACCCAAGTATCACAACGCGGGTGTCTGGACAACTTTTGGGCGTAGTCGGTGCACTCTGTCGCTATTTCACCTGTCTGTTCGTTTGTGCGATGATTTGTTAAATACATCCGTGTGTATATATACAATACAGATGTATATTCGTCTATATATCGAATCAATTGTGATATCTATATGTCCGCATACCTGTCCATTGTATGTGCATGAATAAATGTATGTATTTATTTACAGTAATTAATTTACAATACATATTTATTATCCATTATATTAAGTAATCTATCTATCGTGACTTTCATTATCCGTCTATATCGACCTACCCTTCATGTATCGATATGCGTCTGTGTCAACCCCATTTATTATAACCCGGGGTTTTCGTATCTTGATGAACGGGTGCTGTGAAGAAGGATCATCGCCCGAAACGTCGCCTATTATATGCTGCGTGTATATATATTTCCCTTTCAGGGCCACAATATTAATGACGCACCTCCCGGAGCGGCAATTGAAACAATTCAGCAAGTTTCTTAAGTTCCGCCCCTCCACCCCCGTGTCCATTCAGCAGTATAAAGGCTCAGCAGGTCGTGTGTGCTGGGGTAAAGAAGTGGGTAGTTCCACCTCGTTACAAAGACGTCCGACGAGCGTGGAAGAGTAGCCCAAAATACCACCGTAGAGTGATTATTATATATAGAGAGAGGGCTCCTTGTAGCAGTGCAGTGAATGAGCAATTGCAGGGCTGCGCCTTTGTGTTGAGAGATTAATCATTATCGCGTGGGCGATTAAGTTTTTTCTTTGCCGGCCAGAGGCGATTGACGCGGACGAACGCCGGAAGAGGAGGAGTGACTTCGCTCCACTTAGTCCTCAATTAGGATGCAGGAGACGGAGCCGAGCTGAAAGAGGCCAAACGCACCAAAGGCAAAGGTCCCCCATATAGCCTTCGCAGACCGTCGGGGCAAGTGCTGTTAGTTAGCGAGTGGCACATATGAAAGCCGGCACACCGCACGAACGGTGGTGGGTGTGTAGCCAACGCGTGGCCCGGCCGCCTTTGTCTCCCCTAAGGGAGGGTCGACACCGGTTCAGATAATCGTCACTGGTGTTGGCCGCCGTGAGCGGGAATCGAACTCGGGTCGCCGGGTTCGCATAGCGCAGCGCGCTAACCGCTCCACGACAACACACACACAGAGCCCCGTCGACTCTTCCCAGTGTGTGTTCACGTGCGTTTGTTCATGTGAGCTTGCGTGTGTGTGTGTGTGTTCATGCGTGTGACAGCATGTCCGTGTGTGTGTGCCTTATACATCCATGTGTGTAAGGCGTCCCGGGCATGGTGCGAGCCGTACCGGCCTTCATAGGTCTTCGCGAACGGCACTTAACCCCAACAGTCTGTTCAGGCTACACGGGGGGATTTTTGTCCTTGCGAGCGGTGGCGGCGCCGTGGTTAGCGCACTGCGCTGAGAACCCAACGTCCCGAGTCGACTCAGCCTCAAATGAGAACCTGCCACGTTGTGTAATCATCGCCACTCGGGAGACAAAGGCGGCCGGGCGTAATATTGACCAAACCATTCCCGCGTGTGCCGTGCTGGCCGGCCTTCATAGGTGCTACTCGCTAACGGCACTTGCCCCAACAGTGTGCTAAGGCTATACGAGGGGGGGGGTCTTTGTTTTTGTTATCTCTGTTGATCGCTATCAGTATCCCCATTATGAGGCGGTTGGAAACGCCACTGGTTATCTTGACGAATCGCCAGGGATAGCGAGACACGCACAGACAGACACACAAACACGCGCGCGCGCGCACGTCACCTCTCGATTGTCCATTACCCCAGCGATTGATGCCTGAGAAAATGAGGCGGCCGGGAGATGAAATACAAAGGCACGACAAGAAGAAGACAAAGATGTCCCGTGTAGCCTTTAACAGGCTTGCACGTGCATGACGCGGGCGGTGTGGCCAAATCCACGCCTGGCCGCCTTTGTCTCCCCGGTTCAGATATCCGCCACTGATGTTAGCCGTGGCCGTAAATCGTACTCAGGTCTTGCCATAGGAATGTGGAATTGCCACATTCCTATGGCAGTGCTGTTAACAAGGGGATGAACTCACCCGGCTCTTTCGCTCCATTAACTAATCTAAGACCCTGCCATAGCAATGTGGAATTTCCACCACTGGTTCAGGGCTGTTAACAGAGGATGCACACACCCGGCTCTTTCGCTCCATTGGCTATTCTAAGACCCTGCCATAGGAATGTGGAATTTCCACCAATGGCTCCGGGCTGTTAACAAGGGGATGAACTCACCCGGCTCTTTCGCTCCACTGCCCGGCTCGCTCTGTCGATTGCAGATGGGGCGGTGTTGTGGTTCACTGGGAACCCATTCTCGAACACGACCAGGTTGATACGGAGGAGTGTGGGAAGAGGCGAAGGGGAGACGTGCAGGGGGGAGAGGAGGAAGGGAGCTATATGATGAGAGTGTCGGTGCACGTGTTTGGGATGACAGTGTTAAGAGGCGATCTGTAATAAGTCTGACTGCTGAAGTGAGACCCTGTGTATTGCATAGGAGGAGAGTATTGGTTATAGGAATGCGCGTGTGTGGGTGAGTACAGGGACGCGTGTCTGTATTGGTGTGCGAGTATAAGGCGCTCGCAAACAGCACGCGCCCCAACGACGATACGGGGGACATTGTCTTTGTGTCGGGGTGTGAGTGAGGAGTGGGAAGTGCAGTGGCGATCGCGCTGCGCTAAGAATCTGGCGAACCGAGTTCGATTCCAGCCTACGGCAAACATCGGTGACGATTATATGAACTGGTCTGTGGGCCTCCACCCGCCCCCCCCGCCCCCCAGGTCGACTCAGTCTCAAATGAGCACCCTGTGCGGTGTGTTAATAAACATCGCCACTGGGGGAGACAAAGGGGCGTGGGGCTGGCCACCCACCGCCTCGTGTGCCGTGCCGGCCTTCATCGGTGCTGCTCGCTAACGGCACTTGCCCCCTCCCTCCCCGCAGTCTGTTGAGGCCATTCGGGGGATATGTCTCTTCGTCTTCGTGTCGTGCTGGCGACTACCGTGACGTGCGGTGGAGTGAGTTCGGGGTCCTACGAGACGAGTTTAGGGTTCACGCGACGTAAATTAATCCTTTGACTGGGCGAGTTCAGAGGCAATTGCCTCGGTCGGGGCCTGTGGCCGCGTAACAAACCTGAATTATTTACTTCGCCAATATCCTTTATTTATACACCGCTACAGCCCACTGCACTTAATTATCTCTCGCAAATAGAGAAAGGAAGAAAAAAAACACCCCGTAACATACATCACGTAATTGCTGAGCGCAACGTTAACATTTTAATATTGGGCATTCCATTTTGCTTTACGACGCAAAAGAAATCGCTACCAGGGGCTCGTCTCGCGTGCGTCTTTAACGTCCGCCCTGCAAATCGGGCAGCGGGCATCGTCAACGTCTCCCCCCCACCCCCCCCCCCCCCCCCATCGGTACCCGCACGTGCCCCTGTGTGCCCCGCTCCACTGCTGGATGAGACATCTGGCCTGAGTTCATCCCACGCTGGTAAGCGCGGGCTCGGTGCACGCACGATGCACGCACGCGTGATGCACAGACGTGGTGGGCGCATATCGGTTCAGTACAACAGTGGATTTATTGACACTGCCCTCTGCTGCTCAGAGCTGCAGCTGCTCTGCGAACCGGGTGAGTGGGCGGAATGGAACGAGTGCGGTGTTTGTGTCCCGTTAAGCCCGGGAAAGCCTCCCCAGATGCATCATTCCCTTTGGTTTGGGATAGGAATGTAATATATCCGAGCGGTCCGGCTAATTTAGCCACTGCGAAATGCAGCACAGATTACGCTACACCGCGTTCTCACGATAATTGCGCATCCTCCCCCCAGCCCCTCCCCACCCACTCACCCCTCTACATATCACAACACACGTTGGGGAAGAGATGGGTCATCCGGTAAGTGGGCGTGTGCACCTAGCCGGGCACAAGCGCCGTGGCGACGGTACCGCCACTTAGTAGCGAACGGCGGTTGTTGTTGCTGTTGTTCGACCAGATTTGTTTTGACCAGATTATTGGCACTGTGCGCAAGGCTTTTTTTTTATTTGCGTGGATGTCGTACTCTCCCGAGTGTCTTTTAATCCGGAGAATACGGTAACTGTGACCACCGATTAAAATGTAGGTTTGGGTGAGAGGGTGGCCGCGTGGGTCAAGAGGGGGTGGAGACACCGCGCCAACACTGCTGAGAAAGCCTGGGTTCAGGTCCAGGGTTCAGATCACTGCTCTCCTGCGATTATACCGGGTTCTCAAGTTTGGCGGGTTGATATTCTAAGCCCATTCACCAATGACTGCACACACACACAAAAGCCCCCATCACATTAAATTTAGGTTTTCAATGAATTTGGCTAAACTCCAGCTTAGATGATCAATTGGTTACGGTTTGACTGCCATGTGACAATGATTAGCGCGGTTAGTTGCGCAACGGTGAAAGAGAAGTTCAACATACATACACGCAAGGCGCGTGGGAGAGTTTAGCATCCTTGAATGCGTGGCTATTAAAAAAAAAGGCACTGTAATGTATCTCAGAAGTAGTTCCTTGATATCTGCTTTCGCAGGCCGTTTCTCTAACACACGGAGTGACCGACTGACTGCTCTGAGAGATTTCCAAACGGCCGTGAATGCTAAAGCGATTGAGATACGTAGAGAGTGAATATTTATATTCACCTAGTGCCGGCGTATTTCTGACCGGTGACCTTAACAGCTCTGGCTAAATATGTGATTTGTGCGCTCAGAGCAAACGAGAGTTTTTCACGCTACGAACCCGTGAGTGTGTGTCTTTTGGAGAGTTTAAAAAACGTGATAAGCCCCATTATTTCTTCAAATATATACCTATCCATATTGTAGAGCACCCTCTGAAATATTATTGACAGTCCAATATTTTTAAAATTGTTTCATGCTGGGCAGTTCCACAACTAAGGCCAACTTACACAGTCACGATGTCAAAACCATCCTAAGAATATACTGCGGCGTTACGCGTGGTCTGATCTCCTCTGTGCGGATATCAAAGCTGGACAATGACAAGAACCCTGCAGAGCAAACGAGAAGCAACAGAACGTGGTGTAAAAAAAAAAGAAGCTAAACATTTCATGGGCAGACACAAGATGAGTGATACAAATGTTTTTTTTTACAGACAGCAGCAGGGTACACAACAGGAATATATTTTTTTTTATGATAAAGGTAAAGTTAGATTTCTTGGACATGTAATGAGAAAACGAGAGACTGAATGTGGTTTTCACTGGGAACATTAGAGGAAGACTGCGAATCGAGTGACACCACAAGCCATGTCACCCACTGGATGCAACTGTGAGGAGTGTCCGATGCAAAGTTCTTGAGTAAATATCACGCGCAGAGATGCATGGGAGGAAGGCCGTGATTGCTGACGTCTTGGAAAAAGCACAGAGAGAAAGAAGTGTCATTTTGATGGTAATGATATCTCCAGCTTTTTTTTAAAAAAGCGTGGCTTATTTATGGCATGAGTCAGTTTGGGTGCGTGTGACACGTACGCAGCAAAGAATGCACCATCACCATCCCAGCAAAGGATGCGAATAGCAGTTTCACTCGAGCACATCCGACACCATCGTGATATTTTACGAGCGTTTCTCCATTAATCAAAGAAGGGTGAACAGTGGCTGTGTTTTAATCTGCAATTCAGTTGTAATTCACAGTCGTAGCGATACGTATACTGGATGTGGTGGGCCGGATGCAGACATAGATTGTTTTTGTCTGAATCACTGACCCTGATAGATCCCAGCTGAATGACTTCCCTGTGCGTGTAAGGGTCGTAACACGGGCGTGTGTGTGTGTTTGAGAATGAGCGGTGGCGAAGCGGTTAGCACGCTGCGCGACGAACCCGGCCACCTGAGTTCGAATCCCGCTCACGGCAACCAACTTGAGTGACGATTATCTGAACCAGTCCTGGGCCTCCCCTAGGTCGACTCGGCCTCAAATGAGTACCTGGCACGATGTGTAACCATCGCCCTCTGGGCAGACAGAGGCGGCCGGTCCGAGGTTTTTCCGGCCACGCAGTCCCTCGTGTGCCGTGCCGGCCTTCATTCGGTGCTGCTCGCGAACAGCCCTTGCCCCAACAGTCTGTAAAGGCTATACGGAGGGGATTGTTGTCTTTGTTGCCGTATGTCACTACCGCAGTGGCACACTTTAAAAAAATGACCCCGTAAATAAATTGCGTTCATGCATAAATAATAGCGAGTGCGGAGGAGGCGGAGGAGGCGGCTCCATTTCTCAAGGTTCTCCGAGTGTGGGAGAGCTCATGAATACTAAAGCACATTCGTGGGCTATCACCTGGTTAAATGCACGAGCTTTCCGTTTAATTGTTAATCGTCTTCATAATCACAACAAAGATTCCACCAACCCTCCCCTCCCCCGTATAGCCTCAACAGACTGTGGGAGCAAGTGCCGTTAGCGAGCACCTATTAAAGGGCTCGCACGGCAAAAAGAAAGGTTGGTGTGGCCGAACGGGTTTTCACCCGAGGACACCTGCTTATAATTTAAGGAGTGTGGATGATGATATCATTACCTCGCCCCGTGTTCCCTAATCCACGTGTCCTCCCAGTGTGGTTCTAGACATAGTCATCCCCCCCCCCCCGTCCCCCAAAAAGTTATCTCGGCACGCCAGAATTCACAACGCGCATGCAAATGAGCCTATTACTTGATGAGCGCATCTGTTGATTGGTAATGTATGCATTTAAATTATGTTAATGCTGCCCGTGCGAAGACGGTGTTGATCGTATTAATTGCGGCGCGGAACTGTGGCGCAGCGGTTAGCACACTTGCGCGGTTATGGCCACATGACCCCCCAACCAACCCACCCGAGTTCGACTCCACGCCACGGCTAACATCAGCAGGCCACCCGCTTATTTATCAACGAATACTGACCAGCGTGGTGAAGTATGGTCAACTATAACTTATTAAAAAAACACGAAGACACACATGCCTGGGAATGAATGCCAAATGTTGCAGTTTTGAGTTACGAAATAGCTACGGCAATGGGTTATTGAATCTATCTGTGCGGATGTTTCGGTTTTAACTGCCCTTGCACGCATGGGTATGATAGCCCCCCACGCACCCCACGTCGTGTCCGTCGTGGGGGTTGTTTGACCATACTTCACCGGTCTGGTCCGAACATCACTCGCCGCTGATATTAGCCGTGAGACGGGGACTCAAACTCCCGTCTCCCAGATTCACATCGCGCGGTGCGCCAATCACTGCGCCACCGCTCCACCCTCGAACGTGTACAGCCTTGCTGGATGAGGGCTTCCCCCACGGCGTGTTGGGTTATTCGGCCATACTTCACCAGGCTGGTCAGTGCGGGTTGGAGAAGGACTGGGAGCGTTAGACGTGGTGGCATCGTAGAAGTACAGTACAACGATAGAATGTGCTGCACTGCCCTCTGGCGTCTACTACGTAGCCACCACAGCATCCTGCTTGTGCTCGCTGGTGGCCCATCCGAAGACATGCCAGGCTAAAATCCTGCTTAGCTTCTTATATCTGGCGAGACCGGGCGCGTTTCGGCTCGTTTGGCTCTTAGGCATCGAGCATGGTGGAATTTAATCTACTTGAGCAATTCTTAAAATAACCACCTCTAATTAAACACAGCGTGAATCCGTAAAACAAAACCTAAAATCCCCAGCAAACTCACTCACGTCGTTGGACGCGTCTTCAAAACAAAACCAAAACAAATCACGGGCGAAATTTGAATCACAATTGATCAGCATCATTATGAATATGAG